TAACCTCGTGCTGGTGATAGAGAATCGTTATAGAATCGTTATAAATTTGCTGAAATGGAGTAAGTTTATCAAGAACCCTTTTTTTTCCTTTGTGATATACTATTTCTCGATCTGAACTATGTTAGGAATGCAGGTACAGTTTTCTTCTTGCAATACATCATATTTTCAAAATTTCTCACTAAAGTTTCGTTCTAGCGAATTTCTCGGCAAATCCTGCGTTTATTGTCACATTTAAAATTTCTTTTAGTGTATATGGGTGACCATGTGTGGTTTAAATTAATTCAGGCTTTAATAAACTCGGGATCACATTTTAAACCGACATGAATAAAACTATCAAAAGACATATTCAGAAGAATCATATATGATTGAAAATAGAACTGCATTTCATGCCTGTACATCGTTCTGAAACTACTTCACAGCAACTGTTGTATTGATCAGATTGTCAAATGTAAGAAGCAAATTCGCATTAAATTCGCTACCTCAAAAAGATCCTCTCAACAACGACTTTTTGAAACGGGGATGAATCTAGGAAAATTTTGCTTTCCGTTAGTAGGGGTAACGATATGGAGCATGGGGAACAGCAGCGGATGAAACAGGAAAGATTTTGTCAGTAGTTGTTACTGATGAGGGGAATGAGGGATAGCAGATAATGAAACGACAAGATTTTGATCACAGGATGAAAAGGGAAAGGATGACACAGGAAATCTCCGCATCTTCGAAAATTGACAACGGTAGAGATTTTAAAGGATTAAAAGTACTTGCTTTTCAAAGCGAAGTAATAAACAGTTAGTTAAAAACACAGAACTTTAATCAACTAACTGATATGAGTTAAAATAATATGCCGAATAACGATTACTTGAGAAGTTAAAGCAATAAGATTCAGTATAATATTTATAAATTTGCAGGACTAGTTTTGAAGGTTTAAATATAGAACATCCTTCTTCAGTTGCAGAAGTGCAAATAACACAAGAGAAGACAGTGATAAGGCGATAAGAAAGAGATGAAGGAAGTCAAGCTACTAGCTCCCTCTATTAATGAAAACAATTAAGAAATAATTTCCCTAAAAGCTGAAGGTAAGACGGATTGGAACTGGGATCGTTAACCAGAACTGAAAGATTTTTTATGAATGTTGGCGCCTCTGGAAAATCAAATTCGCCAACGGAAGATGATTTTTGAATAATTTTGGTTGCAAGAAATGGAAAATCCGATTTTCTGACCAAAAGTGTTGGGCAACAGAAGATTTATGTATTTCATTTTCCTATTATATACATATTAACTTAGGTCGAAATTTTAAGACCTCTCTTATTTTTACTAATGTAAGTTAAACCACACTGGCAAGGAATCTTGTATGTGCTCCAGGAAGTTCATATCTGGAATAGGGTCTTTACGTATAGAACTGCGAATTTTATTGACGGAAGAGAAAACAACCCGAAAGTTAAATTTCTGTAAAATATGTTAAATTTTACAACTAATGGAAAGAAAGGAATGACAAAGAATTTTTATAATCTCCTAAAACAAGAGCTTTTTGATGTGATGAGGTGAGAATTTTTAACCGCTGGGGTCAATAACATTAAGTGAAAAACTTCTGTCAGTAGCAACTGCTTTTAAGTAATTTAATTCCTGATCAAGAGCCGACTTGGAGGAGTAAACCTGAAGTGCCTGGAAAAGAAGGAATAAAATAAAATTAACTTCTGTTTAGTCGAATGACATGATTTGAAGTATGGTGGAAAGCAAATAGATGAAGGTTTACCATAAATAGTAGTGCTATAGTAGATAAGATGAATATGTTGCGTGTGATTAAGATGTTGAGAAACGAAAGTGAACTGGATGTCTCAAATTCAAAAATGACCTGAATTATCGGCAAACAGGATAAATATATCGTAAAATTTCAAATAATTTTGATTTATAACAATGCATATAGATATTAGCAAGTACAGGCCTAGAAGTGCTTCCAATGGCTGACCTTCAGTTTGCTAGTAATTCTTATTTTGGAAAACAAATTCTGTTTGTTTCAGATAAAACTGAGTAAGGGAAAACTTTAGACATTCATTTCGATACAGGAGAAATGAAATTCTCGAAGTCTCGTTTTTAGGCAAGTGCACCTTCACTGCTCATTAATATTTGAAAATAAGTCATGTGAACAGAAAAAACAATATGTTCCATTATATTTTGCACCGATCGCTGTCAAAGAATATGGTAAGATTCTCGTCATGCAATGAATTTATACCTTGTATTAATGCATATGGTACAGAAGTATTTACTGATTTTGCTGTTCTGGTTCTCGTAAAAGAGCATGGAATTGAAATTAAACTCACAACATTAAAAATAATGTTACGAGTGACGGGTGAGTATCGATCACATTACAAAAACAGATGTTTGTACGCTTCTTATTATCGATGACTAATCTTTCCATTAAAAATTACACTGGAAAGTTCAGCCTTCATTCTTATCTTTAAAAAATCTGATGTGTACATCACATGACTTCCTTGTACGGAATATTAAATTATACGCATTTTTTCTTGCATTTTATTTAAACTTATTAGATTGAATTAAACCTACTTAGCCGACAGCGCATAAACCACAATAGAATAAATGCATTCTTTAAAATTCACTTTGTTTTACCATAGCGACACTCTGGCGCTAGGTTTACTTAACAGTATTATATTTCATTCATATTATAACTCAGAATGCACAAAATGTATATCATTTAAAGAATTATCTAATCGTTGCCACATGTTCTATTCAAATACTATAATAAAGCTAGAACTATGTATAAAAGAAATTAAGCAAACAAAACAAAAAAGAAACAGTTTTTCACAGACGATTGAGTATTTCTCATTCAATTAATTCAGTTTTCACTTCGGGACAAGGCAAAAATACATAAAAACTCAAAATATCTATATTAAAAATTACGAAGTAAATCTCAAACGCTTATTTCCTCGAAAAAATTCCAGAAAGGATTAAGCATGATTTAAATAATAAATGAAGGCGTTATCTTTGTTGTTGCGAAGCTAAGTTTCTCTAGATTGGCCACAAATCCGCTACTCAGCTGTTTCAAATGTAAACAAGAGCAATGGCCGCCATCAAATTAGGCTTAGCGGCACTTAAACAATTTTAAAATTGTTGATAATTTTAAAAATATTGCATACAGATTTACTAAAGGCATAAAACCCTTAACCGGAAGATAAAAACAACATAATTCAATCATTTTTAAAGTAAAAAATGTACAATTTACAAACATATAAGAGTAAAGAAACTGAGATCACTCGGGTAACAGAGTGGATATATTATAATATATTTATATACGTTTGGCGCGGCCGATTGAAACCAAATATGAGGTGCACATCTACATGTTATAGTAGCCTTATTTACAAAATTTCAACGTTCTGAGGCTACTCGTTTTTGAGTTATGCGAGATACGTACCTACGTACATACGTTCGTACAGACGCCACGAAAAATTCTCTTCAGAATTCATTTTAAAGCAGGTTTTTTTTTTTTTTTTTTTTTTTTTTTTTTTTTTTTTTTTTTAGGAAAAGAGTCTTTTATTCTGTCCTTACGTACAGATATCACGCAAAAACATCGTTAAATTGCATTCGAAAGCGTCAAAGTGGATATTTTCGTTGCAATATGCTGCCTGAAGCTTTTCGCGATTACAATACTTCCTTTTTACTTCGTACAAGGAAGTAAAAATATCTGTCTTTTAGTTTTATTTACTATCCGTCACTGGAATTTTCATTAAACCTGCAATGGGAAATTTAAAGCCGTAATATTTGTTTTAAAGAGTTCATTATCTTTTTTATTCTAAGAACTTTAAGCAAACGATTTTAACAGAACTTTGTCTCAATATACTTTTCTACAGATATTTCATCATTTCCTGAATTTAAAACTAGATGAATTTAATCCATTTCTGTAGCAACTGAAAAAATTTATAAAAATTTTGTTGTCTTATTTGATACAAGTAAAATACACGCTAGACATCATGCCATTTCCAAGGCCTGTAACACGCCCCCTTTTCATAGTCGTTACATCTATTGTTTAAAATGACTTGTTAAATGACAACAAAGGATTTAATCTGTTTTGTTAGTGGTGTTCAGTTAACTTTTTTATGCACTTTTATAGACATTTACTTAAATATAGCTTTCTTCCCCAAATTATTCATAACACAGATAAGTTTCGAAGATGAAGATTTCAAAAATAATAATGGAAGGAGGGATTTTAAAAGTTTTTAAATCTGACAATAAGAATGGTACTTAAATATGAACAGAAATGAGTGATTTGCTTGCATTACCGAAAGATCACTTACAGATGATTATTTTTATCTAAGACATTTTAAAGAAAGTACGTGAAGACGACAAATATAAAATATAAGACGACAAATATATACTGGCTATCGTATTCATGGGCACGGGTTCGAATCCCGGAGAAGGCTTGGATGTTTGTAAGTATATAGTGTTTTCGCGGCATTGGGGGCGTTAAAAATACATGATGAGCCTATAGTATTTCCGAGTGTTTTGGCAGCATGGAAAGAGGGGGGGGGGGTAAGACACCCTCGAATCAGTTTGAGAGAAAGTCTCACCTGGGAGACTTTCTCTCAAAATTGAGACGGAGCTGGACAGAGTCGTACTGTCACAAACAAGAAGTTTAAAGCCCCTAGTGTAACGGAGAGACAAGTGAGATATGTCATAAAAACAACGTTATTTTTAAAATTAAAATAAATGGCCTTACATAGATGCAAATTAAACATGTGACTGCATAATAATAATAAAGAAGAAAACTTTCAGCGAAAAATTATTTGCTTGTAGGTATTAAGAAGATTAAATTAGGCCTTAACTTCGGACTTTAGAATAAATTTTTATTACAGAAATAAATAATAATATACCAATCCACCCTTTTGCAAAGATTAAGTTCTGTTACAAATTATGTGTTTCCACGTTTTTTTTAATTTATATTTAATTAGTTTTATGCTAACATTATAAAACGCAAATACTGGCATACGTACCTGTGGAAAGCATAGCGATACCTCTTGTCATCAACAGGCACGAAGTCCATCATGAGAATGTACTCTGCAAGAGGTTCCATACCATAGATTTTAACCTGGAAAGTGGGGAACATCCGCCTGAAAAAAAAAAATATATCAATCTGTAAAATGATTCTGTCACCAGTGCACATTTTCGATAGATAGAATGTTTTCAATTGCATGTTAATTAAATAAGATATATTTTCTGACATAATTTAGTTATGCCAGAAAGTTATGTTAGTTAATTTATAAGGTATTTCTCCCGTCTTCTTAGCGTGCCTTCGTGGTGTAATGGTCTGCATGCTGGGTCCGTGGTTCGATTCCCGGTGAAGATGTTGCTCATTTTTCATCACTCCTGCTTCCAAAATACCTAATGGCTCTACAAATTTAGTTAAATTAGTTTTAGTTAGTTTATAAGCTATTTTCTTCCTCCTTTCAGCATGCCTTCGGGGTGTAACAGCACACTCGGTTGGTATTCGAGAGGTCGAGGTTCGAGTCCTGGCGAGGGCATTGCTCATTTTTCGTCTCCTGCTTCAAAATAACCTAATGACGCTACAAATTATTTTCATTTAGTACTAGCGTGCTTTATTCTCAAAACATTTACTGCTTTTTTTCTATTTTATATATATATATATATGTAAAGAAGAGGAGAGTTCTAAAAGCTAATGCTTAAAAGTACATTTAAAACTGAAGTTCCTGAGTAAAATAGTTACACCATGTAGAAACAATAATATGAATAACTAAAGAAGTAAAAGTTAGCGGGTAAAAACTTGATGTAAAAATTACAAAACGAGATAACTTCAAAAACAAAAAGGGATGAGAAAAAACTATTAAACTTTAAATCAAAAATTTAAATTTTTTAAATGATGCACGCAAATAATCAAAAACATTTTAAATACACGGAAAATATGTACAAGGAATTGCAATAAATGGTGAATTAGGCCAACTCGAGGTTTAAGACGGACTTATCAAGGGAAAAGCGTCACAAAAATCGAATTCAGCTAATACAATTAGCGCGTTTCGTCAAACGAAAACAATTGAGACTGAAAGCGGAATTTCATTAATATAATAATCAAACTAAATTATCTTAAATAGTAAGTCTCAATGGCTTTGCTTCTTTTCCCGACGCGCCTGCAATTTAAAATTGTATACGTAAAATTTACTATTCAGCAAGGAAAAACTATACATGAAAGCTTAGTTAGGCGAATGTACAAATTTAAATAAATAAATAGCTAAGACACAATAACACGCCGAATAAATACTAATTCAGAAGTCAAACAACAAAAATCAGCGTTATATTTTCAAAATTTTCACAGCCGAACATGAAGAATTATATAATACCGTTTTTGAAAGATGATATATTTACCTAATTTTTTCCATTAAATTTATCACTTTTAAAAACATAATTTAGGTGAATCAACGTTTTCAACACCAGGTTTTTTTACGTAGTGAAAATATGTATACGACAACACTAGTAAAGCTGTATGAAAAGTAAAAGCATTTACGACAATAACAATAGACATTAATATCTCTGTTTTATTTCAATCGACACAATTTTCGCCAAGAACTTTTCTGGAGATATTCTCGTCATTACTGAGCCCTATCGTCCCCCACTCCGCCCCCCAGAAAAAAAACAGAGGGAGAGTAGGGGTAACCTTTTTACATTTGTATTTTTACACTTGTCTCCTGAGAAACGAATATAAAATACACAACTTTATAGCTCAAAAACTGTAACAACAAAAATTTCATTAATTGAAATTGAATTATATTAAATTGTACTGAATTATATTAAATTGTACTGAATTATATTAAAGTGGAAGCTTCGCAACGAAGTAAGCTTTAATAGTGTTTTCTTAATTATGTACAAGAAAACTTAATGCAATTGTTCACTTTACGACAGGTAGTGAGTAGTAGTACGCACCGCATTTCTGTCAATCCATTTGCACGCCGATTTCGCTGGAGGAAACCTGCCATCTTCACGATGGCGCATTTTCACGGAAGCTAAAAATTTTGACGGATATGTTTTCTTGAGAGCTGAACCAAGGTTTAACCAAAATTCCTAGTATATTATTAAGTGATAAGTGCCAATAAAAAGGCAGGATTTTCTTCGTCAGTGGAAGGGCAGATTTTCTATGGATGTACAGAAGTTATTTACTATGTATAAAAGACTTTTAGCCATTACCTTTAAATTTAGTAACATAAAAGCGTTTAGCGTATTTTTTTGAAGTAGGATGAGAGGAATAAACACTTCATAAAAATCAGTGAATGTATAACAATATATACCAGTCACAAAACTATTTTTAATGTTTAAAATATGTTTTAAGCCATGTTTTAATGTTTAAGAGCGCTTTTAATATTATTTTTATCCATGTTCTAATCATCATGACTATTTCCTTGTTTAATTACCTCATGATTTATTCATCTATGTATTAAAAATTGCAATCATGTAAAGAACTCCTCTTAATTTTTTCCAAGTGCTAAACATTACTTGAGTATTATTTCGTTGCATCTTGAAACTTTTAACGAATTCTGAAGAATTATTTTCGATATCTTTTCAAAAACATCCACAGAGTTGTATAAATTTTTGAATTCACATCACTAAGAAATGCTTGATTGAATATTTCTGAAACTAACTGAAAAAATATAATTTTTTAAAACTTATCACTTACTGATAAAAATGAGTTAAACTGAATGCTGTTTAATTAACAAAAAAATTGTGAATATTTTAACTTAAATGTTTACTTTGTTAGGACTCATTACTGTCTATACACTGATTTAAAATAATATTCCTGCAAGCTGATTCTCAATACTCGCACAAACAGATAACGTAAAATTATCTTGAGATGCAAACAATTCCTCCTTTACGACTGGAGATTAAACCAAAGAGGAATCTGATTGAAATCAGTTTCGCCCTGCCGTTCTACAAATGGTGCATTGTTAGGGGATCTGGGTATGATACACAAAATACTAATAAATAAAATGCTATGCTTCTGTCGGAAACTTAATAATGTTTAATAAGCAAAGGAATGATGCCTCATTTATTATCCTTATATTTTTGGAGATTACTAAATCTTATCAAATAAACACTCGCATCCCTATCAGTCGTTCGGGTCACGCAAAAGGTCAAATTTGGGGGCCTCATCCTGATACAGAGCAGCTGAGAGTAAACTAACTGGTTACGATAAAACGTTTTAAGACGTCTTATTTTGAGATTGTGGGAATGCTTATGCTTCGCTTGACCTGCACTTTAACCTTGGAGGTCCTTGACATAAGGCTGAGGTATTTATCCACACGAGCTTTAATTTTCTTGATTATCCGCTGATATCATTTCTATGAGCTCCTCACAAAAAAATAATAGACGATTAAGAAAACAGTCAACCAATAACAGTTGCAACATTTTCGTTTTCCAAATGAGGATCTGATATTTACCTTTTCAGGAAGATTTTCGAAGAGATTGTCAAACAGAATCTCATTTTACACTCGAATGGAAGTTATTAAAACACTTTCATAGAGTTTGTAAATTATGAAAAATATTTTTAAACGTGAGTGTAAAATCTACTATAAGATATTTTCTCCCTTCGTTGTGCATGCCTTCATGGTGTAACAGTAGGCACTCGCAAAGTAGTCGAGAGTTTTAGGTTCGAGTCCCAGCGAGGGAATTCCTCCTTTTTTATGCCTCCCGCTTAAAAAAATAATAACACTAACGAATTCCACAGTGGCGCCCAAATTAAAAGGTGGTGGATGACGATTCTTCACCAGCAGGATTTGGCGATCGGATTCCCTAATCCTCAGTCACCCTTTAAAAGGTGAAGTATCCAAGGTATTTTCTGCATCCTTTCTGCATCTCTTTCATGGTGTAACAGTAGCACACTGAGCACGTATGCGAGAGGTCCAACTTTTCGAGTCCTGGCCAGGGCATTTCCCATTTTTCACTTCTTCAGCATCAAAATAACCTAGCAGCTCTGCACTACAACAAGCACTTAGCATTCGGATTATTTAGATTAAGGCAAAGCATAATCTCAGGCATCTGCCTGAGAGTGGAGTGCTTTCGTGGATAACATTTTAAGGGAAACTGTCTCATATTCACATTACCGATGGGAGGAACCATGAAAATAGGTGAAAAATGCCGACGGATGAGCTAGCTTCCATGCAACTCCATTTGTCGGAATTTGAACTCACACTGAGTAACCAGTATTCCGCGATTTTACCACTCGGAGATTGATGGGCTCCACCAGCATGCAGAAAAAAGTTTTTTCATTTTTTTTTAATTGACTGGTTTATTGAACAAAACTAGTCGCAAATGATTTTCATATTTTAGTAGGTTTAATACTTAAAAATAAAAACAACCTCATTAATTCCAAGAAACGAACTACAGAAACTCTTATCTGTATATACAATATTAGATTGGAAGTAAATTTATCAATGCATTTGAAATCCGCATTTATATAAATTCTAGATAAACACAGCAAAAAATAAAAGTCTAGAAATTAAAAATCTTGCGTCTGAAAGTTGGAGATTATACTGTAGCACTCACTAAGACTAGAAGATTAATAAAACAGGGGAAGGATGTAAAAGACATTTTTATTGAATTCAGTTATTTACGGACGGAACAATCTTTGTGCTTACAAGTCCACCATCCTCTGGTGGCGATAAAACTAATGATAATGGCTAACTAAACTAAATTTAAATATAAGCTAGTAGTTTAAGACTAGCAAATTAAAATTGAATCTAGCAGGTTGACTCAGAAACCAACAGTGGCATGATATTAAGCTTCGGCGCCAAGAATGCGATGCCGAGGTTCAGAATTCAAACGGCTGGCAACGTGGCACTCAACAGCGAAACACGCTCTTCCTAGCCTTTTCACTGCTTTAGTTAAATACACTCTCGTTCACTCTAACTCATTCACATACTGGCGAGGAAACGCGACAGAAAGAAGTGATAGAAAAAGCTAACAAATTAAAATAATAATATATATATATATATATATCTATATATATATATATATATATATATATAAAAACCTCCACATCAAAAAAGGATTAAGGGCTCCCCCCTTTTTTTAAGAATAAACCCTTCTTTTTTAATCTTTGACAATTAAA